CCCCAAAACCCCAAAACCCCATATATACCATACTCAGCAGTTTTGGATAAATATAAATTTAATTTATTATGATTATAGGTCAAACATTCTTCTTAATAGCTTTGGCTATAGGAACGCCTATCGGGCGCTTCATAGATTAAATATGATTACTATTCATTTGATTGATTTCTTGATTGAGATTGTTGAGGAACTTCTTCTGCTATCCATACTCTACAAAGTTGTTATTAGCATTGTTACTCTTTTTATTGTTAGTTACATGTAGACTATTGTTCATGTTTGTGCGCCAAGGTTTCTCCAGTTACTATGCTTTCTTTGGAGAGTTAACATATGGGGAGTTCTTGAATCTATTTAAAATCAAACTTTTGGTTGTGTAAATGTGCTTTACATTTTGATTATCAGTATTATACATGCTGATTTCACTTCTATCAAGTGACCTGCTATCATCTGCACTCTTGAGACTTCCATCAAATGAATCATTAGTCTTGTTTGTAGGTATCATGTCTACTACACTCTTGAAGGCTCTATGATACTTCAGCAGAGGCTAACTTTGAGCTGCATGTGGATGTAGCACAGTGCCTAGGGAATTTTTTTATTTTTCTTCTTCTTTTTGCCTGGTGGTTTTTATTAATAAATACGGCTTGTTATCTTTTGGTCTAAGAATAATCGAGGCTTTTCTTTTAATCCCACCAGTCTAAGAAATGCTATCATCATTCCTGTCTTATTGTGTATCCTAGATAATTGGATTTTACTTCTAAAGTTATTGCTAAGAATGAACGTTTCTTAAGTAACGCTGGTTTTCAGATAATTCTACAGGCTTTTGTTGGAACAGCTGTTGGTTTTATTCTGATGGCGGCTGCTACTGTTAAGATATTTTGGTAACGACTACGTTAGGACCCTAAGGGCCTTTATAATAGCCAACTCCATTGTTATTTGGTCTATCAACTGGCTTATCTACTGATCTTGAAAAGTTATTCAACTTATTTCTCTTTTGCTCCATCATTCTAGCTGAAATACTATTGTTCTGGCCTTAGTTTATGGGAGGCAAAAATGAACCCATTTTCTTAGCCTGAGGTGTTTAACTAACTGGAGGCAGAAAATTATTTTCTATTTGACTATCCCTTCTCTTTAGAAACTTAGTGCTACGAGCAACCTTTAACTGAGGGAAACTAGTTTCAGCATTTTCCAGCATATCATAAACTGCATTTGGGTCGTAATCCTCTTCTATGTTAAACTTGATTTAGTTTGATTTTAGCAATTCTCAAGCACGCTCAATAATGTTATCTCGCATATAAATTTGTTCCTAAAGATATCGCAGCTGCTGCTCATTAAGTTTAGTTTAATTTGCCTATCTCTCATCTTTTCTCTTAATTTCTATCTTGTCTTAGCACTAAATCTCGTATTTTAGCATTAACTAGAGATGAGCAAGTGGCAGTTCACCTCCATGAAGCTCATTCGAATTTTTCCACATAGATGGGAAGATATCACGTCTTGAAATCAGCTATTAGATTGCTTCCTCTAACTAATCTTTGTTTTATTAATTCTCATTAATAGTAGCATAATTTTAGTCTATCTCCTCTAACACCTTTTTTGTTGCTAGATGACCTTTACCTAAGTCCCTAGTTTTTTAATTTGCATCATTTTTCAGTTTCAATAGGGTGAACCCTATTTCATCTATTTTCTTTTCACATTCAGCTATTTACATCTTATACTTCGTTTCATCTTCAAAATGCTGCCTTAGCTCACTTTTAAACTTTTCAAACCCAGGAATGTTTTTCATTGAGCCAAATAAACCTAATCCTTTATTTGACTCTTAATCCTTCTATTAAAGCTATTATTTCATGTCTGCCAGTTCAATTTTAAGTTAAGCTATTATTTAAGAGTACTTTCCAATGTGAAAATTAACATTAAGGGTATTTCTCTCCAATTTATTTTTGATTTTCTTTGCTCTATTGGCATATAGAAGAGTATTATGAGTATCTTCATAAGTTGCACTACTAGGTGATATGTTAGCAATCATTACTGTTCTACAGTTACCTCCTAAAGAGTCCTTGAGAAATCTAGTTAACTTAGAATCTCTGTAGGGTATGTAAGGCTTTTCTCCAGGTTTTGTAGTCGCTAGTGCATTGATGCAGTTACCTAAAGCTAAAAGTGATTTATTGATGGCAGCACCTTCTTACTATCTAGCCCCTTTATTAATATTTTATGTGCTACTTGCTCTTTCAGAACCAGCTAAATCTATCATTGATAATTTAGCAAAATTAACATCAGTTTCAGTTCCACTAAATTTATCCCTGTATTCTATAATTACCTGCAATATAGCATGAGATCTTGAGGATGCATCATTAGCATTAGTAGCCTCAGTAGATCTATTCTTATTTCCGATTCTTAGCAAACTCATAACTTCATCTACAGAACTGGCAATAACTTCAGTTAGCCCATTAACAATAATTCCTCTTGTAATATCTTCTCTCATCTCTAAGTTTCTATTTTCTGATGTTTAAATAATTAAGTCTCTTATATTTTCATTGTAGATTTCAAGATAACTCATGAGAATCTTAAAATCTTTGTTTTTCTTTTGATCTTCAATCTTTTTAAACAGTTCAACAAAAGTTAAACCCATTATTCCATACGATTCATCTGTTCCTAGCATAGTATAAGTCTTTCCTGCTCCTGTAGCACCATACGCAAATACAGTAGCATTAAATCCATCTAAAACTCCATCTAAGGCAAATTTAACTGACTTTTCAAACACAGTTTCATGAGATACATGTCTATCGAAGACATAATCGAAGGCATATTATTTCTCTTTACCTCTTTACATACCTCCTGTATTCGACTAGTATTCGTAGAGTTATCCACCTTGATTCATTACTTCCTGTGGATCATACATTATGACCATCTTATCATCTAAAACACTCACTATATTGAAGAAATTTTTCTCCATTTCAATTCGACTTAGAGGTCTTACTCTCACTGCTACCTAATGAAAAAGAAATATTTTAAGTTTGAGAAAAGATTTTGTTTTAGTAACCTACCAGGACATTATTTTTGCCCCCACGCATTTCCTCGACAAAGTTGTTAGTTTCAGCGTTAGCATCAGCTATTCCAACACCTATCAATAAAAATTTGAGATTATCTTGAGAAGGAATCTTTGAATTACTGTCATTAAGGTTATTATTGCGCGTTCCAGCAGAACTATAGTTAAAACTTTGACTCATGGGTTTCTTAGGTTATTAATGTTTCGACCCTGTCTAATCTTTTGATAATGAATTATAGCAATTTTAATTATTAAATTAAATAAATTAATTAGAGCAAGGTTTAAAATTCATACTGTAAGCAAACTATGACCCTTAAACACATCAATTAAATTTTATGTAAACGATAAATCTCGTAAAAATAATTTCAAGTCAATCATCTATCGTTATTTGGTATGTTCATTACCCATTAAGTTTATTGCCTTATTTCCCATTTACTTAATCCTCTAAAATATTAAACATGTTAGATGGTATACTTAAAATCTCAAGTATTGATCTCTCAGTTAATATATTCAACTTTTCCAATTTCGAATTCAAATTTCTCTTAAGATCAATATTTGCTTTCTTAGGAAGTAATCCCTTAATGGGATCATCCTCATTCTTCACATACTCTTTTATTTATTTCTTGACCTTTCTTTGATACTACTACTCTAGTTTAGACACCTATTTGAATTGCTCCATCGTCTCTTTTTTGAATTAAGCATCAAATGGTGTGTAGTTTCTAAATATAATTTCTCGGTTATCATCTATATTGATGCAAAGTTATAATCTTAACTAATATACTAGAATCAGCCTTTGAATTGTTAGACAAATTATTTGGAAAAATCAGTTTAGTACTACTTGTCATATTTTGATCGAAATCGATCTCATTTTGCATTTCTTGATCCATTTTATATTTATAATATTTTCTATACTGATAATTATTTACATTTTGGGGTTTTGGGGTTTTGGGG